AAGTCCGTGCACGTGGGATGTCGTAAGCGCGTGGGGTGTGTGACGATTACTTAGAAAGAGAAGAAAATAGTTGGCTGAATAGCTAGAGAGCGAAAGAAAAAGAGAGAGAGAGAGAGAGAGAAAGAGAGGGAGAGAGTGATTAGAATATTACAAGCAGGAGTTTACGAAACGCGAGAGGAACACGCGCGGTAGATACTCCCTCTTGCATCCATCATTGTCTCGTTTGCACCTGTGTGTCCGATAACATCCTCTCGGGTGAGCCCGAGTTTGCTCTTCGTCATTAACTTTATGTAACTCGCATACCTAGTCCTTTTCTCTGTACAATATTCACTTGCGAGTTGGTAGACGCCGTATAGACGCCGTTAAAAATTAGAGCAGTTAGAAGCCGAGCATCGGCTGTGTAGAAAAGTAGCTAACGGAATCAACCAATATTTAAGAAATAAATTAGACTGGTTTATTTATTTATTGAATATTGATACATACAGCATACACCTCTTAAAAACGTTCAGAAGACGTCTTATGTTCTAAAAGACGTCTACCTCCTAAGAACGTTCCTAGGATCTCCTAAGAACGTTCCTAGGATCTCCTAAGAACGTTCCTTCTTCATATAAAGTTTGCAATATAGACATTAAATTAATATAGTTGTCCGGAAAGTTAAGTAGACAATCTATATAAGAGATAAATTTATCACGATGACTTTTATTGTTTTTGAGATATACGGATAAATTTAAAATTTCAACTTCTTAGGTACGCAATTATTATTATATCGGTCTCCATGTTTAAAGCATATTTAGCACATTTTTAATACATCTCGCTAATTCAACACAGTAAAATTAGACATTTCTTTTTATAAATGAATTTTTTTTAGATCATCCGCAAACAATTTTATACGTTTCTGATACGTATCAATTTCCTCAAATTCTCGTCATTTATTTAAGTTTCTTTTATTCACGCTCGCTCTGATTCGAGTCAGACTTTCGTCTATTCGATTTTTTTTAATGCAGATAGATTCTTCCAGTGTCCTCGCCAATATACATCGTCATTGTTGATCTTGAAATTATATTTAACAATACACTGACAGTTCGCTATCAACAGGAACTGCGACTTAATTTCGATTTTAAAAACGAAAAAATGTAACTAATACTCACCAGTTAAGAGTGTCTGAGATAAATGTCCCGTTTTTTGAAAAAAAAATGCACATGTTGCGTTTATCACGCGGCAAAATAGAGGTGTCACGACCCTCGGTGCGTCATTGCGATCCCACTCGCGCATTTCGAGTGCAGGGGGTTAAAAAAACAAAGAAAATTAGATCATAAGCAGGAACGACACAGAGAACGTGTCACTCGTCCCTCTCTTCCCCTTTTTTCCCTTCTTATATAAAACCGTACAAAATTCTGTATCTATTGTAAAATTCGCGCGAATATCTCTCCGTATTTATATTTATTACTCGCAAAAAATTCACGTTCTGTATCTCTATTCTTTCAGCCACACCGACCTATGTTAAAACCTGAATTTGATGGTCCCCTATTACCTCGCCGTTTTCCCGGCTTTGACATGCAGCCCGATGGTGAACTGTAAAGCTCCTTCCGAGGTTCGCGTAAATAATTAATAAAAGCAACCAAAAAAAAAAGAATCAAAAATTCAACAGTAAAAAAACATCCGGAGAATAAGAAGAAGAAGAGGAGGAAAACATCATTGTCCTCATCGAATTCATCGTCGAACGAAGACACGAAGAATATATGTATATGTAACGAATCCGAGAGCTCGCTCAGAGCTCTCAACGGCATCGTCATCTCGCAATCGATCAATCAGTATCATCACATCCGGATCATTGAATTCTCGTCATTTTTCTCGATAATAAATGTTTTTGTTTAATCGGCTAAGAAGAGAAAAAGTGGAAAAATCAGCGCTCGCTCGAGAAGGAGAGGATTGAGGGTGAGAGTGAAGAGAGGCGAGGATGCGTTTCTTCACCACTCGAGCTGACAGTCGAGGGAGAGAAAGGGAGAAAGATAAAGAGAGAGAGATTGGGAGAGTGAGAGTGGATGAGCGAGAGAGATCGAGCGAGAGGACACGCGAGCGGACGATGAGAGGGCGAGAGCCAGCGCGATACAGATATATTAATATTTATACACATACGCATACACAGAAGACGAAAGGGGGGGGAACAGAGCGACGAATACATGTTTATTTATGAATACACGCTCTCGCGAGTTGCGACAAACACATAGCGAGCAAAAGTTGAACGCAAATTAAAAATGAGATCGAGAAAAGAGGACAAGGTTATACTTGCGGGGAGCAGAACGAAAGCGAGTCGCGATGAACGATTTGATCAACAGCGCGTATCATTACACATGTCATCCGAATGATATCGTATCCTATAAACTTAATTGTAATTTATAAAGAGAGACGAAGTATGTATTTATTAAAGTAAATAAGCAATAAATAAAGATAAGAACTAAGTCGCCCCGCTTGTCGATCATCCACTCGTAAAATCCAAGATTCTAGAGTAAAGGCCGGAGAACAAACCTTTGCAAACGCATAATGCATGAAGTATAAATGGGCTTTCTACAATAAATCATTACCTAAGCTATAAGATATCTTAAGCTATAAGAAATTGACCAATCAATTATTCTTCTCACATTCGACTGTGATTGGTTAATTTCTTGATTTAAGACTTAAAACTTAGATAATAGCTTATTGTATAATAGAAATATAGATAATTACTCAGAATCCTCCATTTCATGAAAAGGAAAGACTCTGGTTGATTCTTTTATACTTTATACATTATGCGTTCCCCCGGATCTACAATAGAGTTCTAAGCCTTAAGCCATAAGAAATCGACGAATCACAGTCGATTATTCCCCTCGGATTCGATTGTAATTGGTCAATTTCTTACGGCTTAAGGGCCACTGTCACCAAGCTCAGTTAACTTAACTGGCCAGTTAGTTTTGTTTGAAGCAAACAAAATGATAAATGCGATTGGTTAATTCCGATGGACTAACTGGCCAGTTAAGTTAACTGAGCTTGGTGACAGTGGCCCTAAAGCCCAGTGTCCACGATGCTAGAAATCCGTCAGAGATCTCGGATGAAGAAAGAATTGACCAATCACATTGATCATGTGACTAAATTGTTTAAATGTGATTGGTTAATTCTTTCTCTCTCCGAGATTTCGGACCAATTTCTAGCATCGTGGACACAAGGCTTAAGTCTTAAAACATCTATTGTAGGTCCGGACTTATACAAAGATCTACTTCAGCCTTCTCCCTGTGTTCCAATCTTATGAGTTCGTTGCACATCAAGTATCGATCTTCATTAAGAACGAGAAGAAATTTTTTAGCTGTTTAATTATCAGTTTAATTTATTGCACATCAACGTACAAAATAATCGTCAAAAATAATTTTTGGTTTTAATAGATCAAGTATTTTACGTGGCGATATTCCCGCAAAAAATGAAATAGAATTATCATTGTCAATTAATTTTTCTACTTTATATCAGAGAGAAGTCTAAAAGCGGTCCGGGATTTAGCTGCAACCTTATTTTGAAGCGTCTCTATGTCCACAAAACGTGGAGCCAATGGCTACGTTTACACCGTGCGCTTAGTTCGCGACCTATACGATAGGTGTCTTTGTTTAACCTACAGGATAAACAAGGACATCTATTATATAGGTCGTGGCCTAAATGCACGGTGTAAACGTAGCCAATGTCCACGATCCAGTCGGTAATGTCCACGATTTTGTGATTGAGCGAGTTCAAGACGGCAAAGCGGCTGTGTATGCTTACCGAGCGATTGAATATGATTGGTTGGATCTATAAGTATCAACCAATTATGTTTATTTGCTCGGCGAGCAGGCTAGCCGCTTTGTCAACTTGAACGCGCCCATTGTATTCTTCGCTATGTCCACGATTTTTGGTCCGTTAGATAAATAAAGACGAACAATCAATCTGTCGGTGCTAGTTGAACAAACGATTATTCGTCTTTGTCTATCTAACGGACTGAACAATCAAAAAATCGTGGATATTATCGACGGGATTGTGAACATTGGCTATGTAGTTTAACGTTTTGTGGACATAGAGGCACTTCAAAATAAGGTTGCAGCAGGGTACCACTGACAAGATAGCAGACAAATTGAATATTTTTAATTTATTTATTGGCGAATTCGATTGGAAGAACTAGTGCGCACACTGGTGCATATTAAAGCCGTACACTAATTTAATTTAAGTATAAAAATGAAATGCAAATATTTCGAATTATGAAATACATATTTTACTTAATAGTACAATAAAATGTATTAAGTATTTCAGGATTTAATCGATCTCTATGTTTATTTAGGGCCATTGTTACCAAATTTGAAGCAAACAAAATGACAAATGCGATTGGTCAATTCCGATGGACTAACTGGCCAGTTAAAGTTAACTGAGCTTGGTGACAGTGGCCCTTATAAACATATCTTTACGTTATTTCGTGTACGACGGCTTTAATGTGTACCAGTGCGCACTGAGTGCGTTCAATTGAATTCGCTATATGTCTATATAATTTAGGAATCGTTTGGGGAAATTTGGGAAAAGCATTTAAACATTTGGGAAATAGTATTTTTCTTGTAATTAACAAATTTTATCATGCGTCAAGTTAGTAGACAGCGATTTTATTTAATGTGTTTTATGAATGGAATCGATTAGAAATTATATTTGGGGAAGACGTCTTCATTATTATTTTCATTTGGGAAAAGTCACTATTTGGTAATTCAATAGATTTATACATTACGAAAACGAACAAAGCCCGGGTGTAGTATGGGTGTAGTATGGGTGTAGTACAATGAATATAGTAAACCAAAAATCGTCAAAAATTAATCAATTAAGCCCGAATCTTATGCGTAGTTATGAAACTGGCCAATCACAGTCGTTCCATTCTTCCGAGGAACAGTTATGATTGGACAATTTCATATAAGTTGAAATCGTTATTCCTTATTCCTAATTCCTTATTCCTTCTATTGTGGTTGCACCTTAACCTCTCGTCGCTTTGGTGTTACGCACCGGTAACGCCCTATAAACGTCTGCTCGATGGATTATGGAGCTGGCGATATGTGAGAACTGTCTAAAGGATTGTGACAGATAGAGAAATATTCTTTTGACGAGATACATACTTAACTCTTCGAGATGGACAGCAAGGGAAGGAAAATCATCGTCTGTGACAATGGCAGCGGGGTAAGGTCGCTCTTCCATTTTCCTCGCAAAGGAATTTGCCTCATTCTTAGTTATGAGAGGATGCACTGAATTAGACAAGTGCTTCAAAACGATCGGATACTCTTGTATATTTCCGGCAGTTTTTCCGATGCAGTTTTTTATTGTAGTTTGTCAAATGCGGGTACGCTGGCGCAAACTTCCCGGCCCACATATTCCCGTCTATAGTCGGACGACCAATAATAAGAGCTGTCAACAAAATAGGCGATATCGACGTCAAGGTATGTACGTTTGTTGCTTCAGGCTCGTGCGAGCTTATATGTAAGGACATGGGACCAGTAATTACATTTTTATCTCGATACAAGTGCCCTAATAGTTGATGTTTGATTTACTGATGTATTATCCATTGATACTTGATCGTTTAATTTATCAAAAAAGTTAACGTACGTAAAGCAGATGATAAACAACAGTTACATTTATAAATGTAAAGCAAATCTCGATTTCGACTGTAATCAATTTATGAAACTGTATGAAAGATGAGAAGTATATACTTACAAGAAGCTTCAAGAGATGTAATTTATTGCGTATTGTTTTAGTTGTATATAAAGTCTATGATATATTCTAAGCTTTAAATTGCTTGAGCGTGTTTATCAGTATTTAGACAATTAATAAGAACAATTGTATTTTCAGCAAGAATATTGCGTTCGTGTAAGTCTATTATATAGTATTACATCGTGTGTGCTCTCCATGTCCCCCTAGCGCTTAAGTCTGACTGAAAATAATCTATGTGCTTGTCCACTGATGTAAATAAAACAGTTTGAGAGGCTAATGACGTTTACTAACCGAAAGGGAATATGTATTTGAAATGTAAGATGAACATTATTCAATGAATTTATTAACAATTTCTTGAAGTTATAATATTATTGTTAAGTGAGTGATTTATTGATTATATTGTACTTAATATAAATGTGTTCATTGTATTGGATACAATGTTTTTCTTGCGAGAGATCTTACAAATTTTTTATCAACATAAATATGTATGTTTTGACAAAGCAAGATGTGTCTCTACTAATATGTTTATTAGAATAATGTTGTTTACTTGCAATTATGTTGGTACTTATGTACCAACATAATTGCAAGTAAATACATGCTATATATTTTTCCTATAATTATCTAATATATTTGTGTGCTTACATTTGCTCTCGTAGGATGTGCTTAACATGCTTGTAAGTTTATTTTTTTTATGCTATATACATCCTTTACATCAGTATTTTAGTGAAGAATTTTTTTCGACTATGGGTGTGGAAATAGTATTCATATAATCCGGCAAACTTTTTCCAAAGTGCTTAGGTATACACATTTGGAAACTGATTTAACACAGAATACTTTCCTGATACAAATTCCATAAACTGAGTCTCATAGAAGTGTTATACATATTGTGTTATTGTTACTATGCCAACTATATATTCTTAGTATATAAAAGGACGATCTCATAAATATTTATCTGATATCTATTCTAATCTAATACCAAATTTCATGTATCAGGAATTACTTTGATTTTCTTTCTATCACATGTAATAAAAACAGTTTTGTTATACACTTTTTGGACATTTACCTAGCTAGTGTTCAAATAATTAGAATTTTCATACTACAAATACATTTATTATATAATAAAATAGTGATATCGCGTATCATAATGAAATCAACATAGTACATCTTGGTGATGCCCGCAGAGGTTTGATAGTCAAATATTATATTGTCTCACAGGATTTAATGGTTGGCGATGAAGCAAGTAAACTTCGTTCTATGTTAGAGATAAGTTATCCAATGCAAAATGGGATTGTTAGGTATGTTTATATCTTACATAAGATATTTTATTTGTTATATCTCGTTGTAATATAATTAATGTTTAACAGAAACTGGGAAGACATGTGTCACGTGTGGGATTACACCTTCGGCAAAGAGAAAATGAATATTAATCCTAAAGAATGTAAAATTCTGTTAACCGAGCCACCAATGAATCCTATCACGAATAGAGAAAAGATGATAGAGGTAACATTGTGCAATCCAAAGAAAGTTAAATTAAAATTATATGAATAGAAAACTTAATGAATTGATATTAATTCAAAATCGACGACCAAATAACGAGCAAAACAAGGTGTATTTTTTAAAATGTAAATTTAACATATCTCTATAAGTAACAATATAAAGTATAAAGTATATGTTTCGGCTTTACAAAGCCTTCTTCAGTAAATCTAAAATAACTGTTTTTACTAAAATAACTGTCTTGATATGGACATTTTTGAAGTTTGACATAGTCGCCATCATTTATCACAAACAACTGACATGGAATTTCCTTCGTATCAAATTGTAGCTAAGCGAAAGAGATAGTTATTTTAGATTTATTGAAGAAGGCTTTGTAAAGCCGAAACGCATACTTTATATTGTTACTTAGAGATATGTTAAATTTACATTTAAAAAATTTAAACAAAACACCTTGTTTTGCTCGTTATTTGGTCATTGATTTTGAATTGTTTTGCTGTGCAAACACCGAGCGTAATTTTATTTTCTGTTTATTATTAGAATTGATATTACTTCAGGTGATGTTTGAGAAGTATGGTTTCGCTGGGACGTACATTGCAATTCAGGCAGTACTGACACTATACGCTCAAGGATTGATCAGCGGTGTCGTTGTGGATTCCGGTGATGGTGTTACGCACATTTGTCCCGTGTTCGAGGAGTATGCTTTGCCACATTTGACCAGACGGTTAGACATAGCCGGACGTGATATTACAATGTATCTAATTAAATTGTTGCTACTACGCGGTTACGCTTTCAATCATTCGGCTGATTTTGAAACTGTTCGAATGTTGAAGGAGAAACTATGTTACATCGGTTACAACATAGAAACGGAAGAGAAGTTGGCTCTTGAAACCACTGTATTGGTGGAGTCCTATACTGTAAGTAAAATATTATTTATGTAGTATAATTTTATTAATATTTAAGACGATTTAAATTAAGGTGTGCAAACTATTTTATATATATAACATTTTCAGCTTCCTGATGGTCGTGCGATCAAAGTAGGTGGTGAGAGATTTGCAGCACCCGAAGCGCTTTTTCAACCTCATTTGATTAACGTCGAGGCGCAGGGAATAGCCGAGCTGGTATTTAGCACAATTCAAGCAGCTGATATCGATATCAGAAGCGAACTATACAAGCACATCGTTCTGAGCGGAGGTAGTACAATGTATCCAGGGCTTCCATCGAGGCTTGAACGAGAAATTAAGCAACTTTATCTTCAAAGAGTATTAAAGAATGATACCACTAAATTGAATGTAAGTATGTCATATGTTTAACAATACTCAGATATGTGTGTATATATATGTATATATATATATATGTACACTCTCTCGCATACACATATATATATTGTATATATATATATATATATATATATACTGCAGATGCTTATGTTATATTTATGTAAATATTTTTATAGAAATTTAAGATAAAAATTGAAGACTCACCTCGACGTAAAGACATGGTTTTCATGGGTGGTGCTGTACTAGCGGAAATAACGAAGGATCGAGATTCTGTATGGATAACACGGGAAGAGTATGAAGAGAAGGGTCTTAGTGTACTAAAAAAATTAGGTTCCTATGAATCATAAGGAAAGTCATACACACAAATATAGGCTACAAAATTTTTAACGAACAATCAAGTGTTTTTTATACTTAAAAAACGTTCTTGACTTAAGTTAGACTTGCGCAGCAGTTTTATGATTTGTTATATAATTATAAAAAAGTACTTTAAACCAAGTACTTTAAAAGATTTACTAGCTATTTGATACTACACACTCTAGTAAACTCATGTATTTTTTTATTATTAAATGTGATATAATTTCAAATAAGATATGATAAAAATAAAAGGTTTTGCGGAAGATACAGCCAAATATCGTGGTTTCGGTAAAACATTGAATGTAAACATTAAGTATTAATTTAATGAAATGAAATTCGTGACTGTCACATTTCAGATTGTATTTATTTAAAATATTCTATCAGTCAGGTATAAAACAATGTTGCATTTAATATGTATTTATGCATAGCTCTAAATATTCAATATATCGATTAATTTTTATTGTTACTTACGTGTTACGTAATGAAAACTTCATTCCTATTTCTTTGTATTTGTCAAACTTTTCTCTAAAAAGTGTAAATATAATTGAAATTGTAAAAATAATTTCCTTCAATGTGAAACTATCTGTCTTTCTATTATAGTAATATGTAAAAGTCTGCAAGATCTTGATGATTAAAAACTGTTTGAAATTAAATAGTTGGATTTTTATATATGGAATGTTAAGATATTTACAACTTTTTTTTATTCTATACAATCTAAATAATGCATAGAACTAGAATAAAAACAGCGATGAAATTTTAATTTTATGATTATACATATATTGCAAAATATTTTACAATACAATGATTTTAATCAAGTTTTTATATTATCAGAGAGAAGCCTGAGAGCGGCCATGCCCGGGAGCTGCAAGCTGCAATCTTATTTTGAAGCGCCTCTATGTCCATAAAACGTAGATAATGAACTATGTAGCCAATGTCCACGATTTTTTATTGTATTCTTCGCTATGTCCATGATTTGTGGACATAGAGGCACTTCAAAATAAGGTTGCAGCTAAATCCCGGACATGGCCGCTCTCAGGCTTCTCTCTGTTTATATCCAGATTTGAATTTCACTTCAACTTATAAAACTTATTTAGAATTATGCATGTAATTTAACTGCTTTAGTTATCTCCTTCATATTCTACACAGCATCTCTTAAAAACATCCAGAAGATATCCGTATATCTTCTGAATGTCTTAAGGACCTAAGATGTATCTTGTATAAAATGTGCTGTATGGAACATGTTTGCCCAAAGTGCTTATGCTTACATTATAAATTGATACGTAAGAAATTATACGTAATGCACATAACAATTCAACATCTGCGATTGAGCACGCTATTTCGTTGAAGATGAGCACTATCTGTGATTCTTCTTCGCTTCAGTTCGCATGATCTGCCTGAATTGTCCTTGCAGAAGCTCCCATTGCGTCCACTTGTCCGAGTTGATGTTAAATTCCTCGCACGTCTTCAGAAAAGCAGGCACACATAATGGCAAATAGTGATGGTCCACGGTGGGTATCAGATGGTGCAACGTGTGCGAGCCGTAATTCGTAATAATTAGGAATAATGATTTGTCGATATCCATACGATCACGCACGGCGTCCATCTCGAGCAAACCCCAGTCCATGTCATTTCTTGAAAATATTGTAATAATTACGAATAAAGAAAAATTACGAAAAATTTCCTTCGAGAGCATTTTGCAAAGCAACAAAAATGTATTGTTATTGAAAAATTAAGATTATATTAAAATTCAAATTAAGATTAATGCTGGGCGGATTAATTTTAAAATCCAAATCGAAATTGGAGAATTAAAGATGAAATCAAACTTATATGAAAATTAAATCAAGATTAAATTAACGATAGATCTAAATTTAAAGTTAAATCAATATTCTTTTTTTTTTTTTTAAATTAAATTAATCTAAATTATTTCACTTGAATTATTTTTCAATGAGGGAAAACAAAATAGATCTAATCGATTCAAAAGATAGATAGATCTGATTGATCTTATGATTTATTATGAATGAAACGCGAATGATATTAACCTGTAGATATCGCCATCGTGAAAGATGTCAGGATGATGGTGGGCCGCGTTGAAGCCGATGAGACCAAATATGGTGCTACTAATCAGCAACATTATCAACCACAGTTTGAAGGCAATGAGAATTTTGGGCGCTACCAAACTCATCGATATAGGCAGCAAGAATGGCACGAAATCACGAAATTCGAAAACCCCATACTCCGTGTACACTAAATAATATCTAAAAATAATTAAATCTTTTAGCGTGAGAGACAAAAGTGGATATCAGAATTAGAATTAAGACAGTAGATGTTTAATTAAGAATCCAAAGTGAAGATACAAGCGAAAAACCTTTCTATTAATTATAACAAAAGAATATGGAATGGTTCTATTACCGTTTTATGCCTTCCGTAATATACATCGACATCCAGACGATGGGACTAATAATTTTGCTTATCATTCCCATTAAGTAGGATTTATCCTTTCGAGGGATCCATTGTATAAACGGCTCAAGCACGTACATCTCGTAATCCCATATGGTGTTGGGATACATGTGATGGCTCATTATGTGCGTGATGCGCCAATTTTTTGAAGATAGCATACTCAGATCGAAGTAGTACATGCGAAAATTGTCTCTCATGTGGAAATAATTATGTGCAGCGTTGGTCGTCCATGTCAAAAAAAGGCCTAAAATTGTCGTCAAATAAATCAATTGATTAATGCATTTATGCTTAATAATTATAATTAATGTAGAGCTAATTAATTAATAAATATATTCATATAAAACTCATGTTGCTTTTAACATTTCTTAAGCATTACAATTATTGTTATTTTTATGACTCTTATAATCAATTATATTTATAACTTCAATTTTTTATCTTAATTATAATTAATGTTAAATAGATTTCATGGATTCTCACTGGCGAGGATCAGAATAGCATAAGAGTGGACGAAGGCGGCCATGAGACTTAACGCGAAAGTCGTTGTCATTAAGGAATCGATGATGAGATTCGTTGTTGTAGACGGTTTATGAAAATTGACATTCTTCAAAGCCTCGACTGCCCGTCTCTTGAATGTACGATAAAAGCCATCCGGCAAAAAGGTTAAAGGCACCGACCGCGTTGTCGTGGCTTCCCGAACGTATAATTTGGGCAGAAGCCGTTCAGCCTTATCGTTAAGATGATGGGCCTATGTGACGGAATCAATGTTAAAATTCAAAATTCCGAACACGAGAATCGTCGTAGCGATGGATCTCGAATTTTTCAAGGAAAATTGCAAATTATAGAAAAGAAAGAAGTAAAGCGAATAGATAGTTATATAGAATTTATATATAAATAAAATTATTGTAAAACAATTGTATAAAAATCTTTATAAAAATATAATAATAATAATATAATAAATAATTATAGTAATGACTAATTAAAAATACAATGATTGATAACTTCAAGCAAAAAATTGACTGATTATGATAATGTTATACAAGATGAATTATAATTCTGGCTTCAATTCAATACCTCAAACAATTCAGTAATATCGGTTCCTTTCGTGAGCCTAATCCATTCAGATCCACCTGGGTGCGATTTCATGAAGGTTTCCAAATCATAAAGTTTGTTTTCGATCCTCCATAGTCCTTCCGCGCCGTCGACTTTTCTTCTAGCATCGATAAAACCCATCGCGGTTTTTGACGGATTGTCTCTCGCCGACAGATAAACCAAACCAGGTATCGTGCTAGTTTTCGTCATATTAAAGATTTTTTTGACTTCGCCTAAATAAATAAAAACAAAAGTTTTACCACGGTAAACGGTGTATTTAATGCGATAATTTTTACACGTGCAGAAGTAATATGTTAGAATTTCAATTATCTGGATCTATCATTTAAACAAGTCAACGTTCAGTTCCATATACACGAACTGCATCTAGTTTTTGCTATTTAAACTACGGCACAATAAGAACGTGACGTGCTTTTCTGAACGTCAGCTCTTTTTATTGGAACTGATAATAGAGAGAAGATTATAGAGATCATGGCCTTGATTTTGATGAATGTTATTCATGTTTTAAACAACATTTAAAAGGTTTTAGTTGTCGGTCGGACACCTTGGATAATGCTAATAAATGCCAGAAGTACTGTAACTTTCGAGCATCATAACTAAAAAAGTACTTGATGAAGAAATATTTTATTATAATGTTTTGGAAAGCTCTTGAGGTAAGCTACAAGAATATCCAATAAAAAATAAATGTTTCTATTTAAGAAATTGAAGGTGACCTTCAAGCAACTATTCAAGATCAAACTATAATAACACCACCTTATGTTCCCCTCAAAGCCATACAACTTTGGTCTGAAACATTTTTCGCTATCTTGCTTACCTGATGAGATATTCGCGTGTATTGAGAGATTAAAATGGTCTACCCTGTATAACAATTCATATATAATCATATATAATTGCACATAAAAATTTTTACTCGGGCATTTACAAAATCACAAAAATATTTACAAAATATTTTAATTAAGTCTTACAAATACTTACAAATATTTTGTAAAGATTTTATAAATATTGTGTGCTGTTCGGGATATATATTTATGACATATCTGCGTTTTCATTATCCATTCAAGTTAAATGATAATTTATGCAATTAGAGCAAGAACTTTGATTGCGCTATCTGTTTACATGAAGTTTGTGCCTTGAAATATAAAAAAAATATTCTTGCCTGTCTATATATGAGTAATATATTTCTGTACTGATAGAATCAAAAATTAATGTTACGAATGACGTTATCATATTTTAGCCGTTATTATATTATTATTTTAAAAAGGTTAATTATTATTTAATAGATACTAAAAAGTGTTACATAATTTTAACGGTTCATAATAATATTAAAAACCTGACTGAAGAAATGGTAAAACTTCGAAAAAGCTACAGCATCTACAATTTTAATGCAAATACATTTTTTCCATGTTTTTTTGGTTCCTGAAAACGAATCTGACAATAAAATTTGGCGGTCAATCATACTTTGACCGTCATTTTGAAATACGAAACGTGTATCGCTAAAGGTCAAATAGAGGGTGTTTACCTCAAAAATCGATGAAATTTAATACGATACGTTCTTGCATAAAACGAAAAAATCTGGCAGAAAAAAGCATCGCTCTGCCCTGCAAATCGAGATATTAATCGTTAAAGTTCACGACTATTGAGGTAAGAAATTAATCTATCCTGTGGACAGTGGAGTGTATAGACAGTAGAGCTTAGACTGTGTTCGCTTGGAATATTTCTAACCTGTAGACAGTGGGGTGTATAGACAACAGTGCTTATTGGTTCGGGGCGGCTACGCCTCCCCGAACAAAAACAAAATAACATAAACT